TTTTTTGGCGAGTTAGTTTTCTACAGGATGAGGTCATGCGAAGTTTCTTCTCAAAGCCGCTCACTGATATGGTTGTGGTCACTTCCGCTTGTAGATCCTTCTAGGCGTTGCAAGTCCTAACGAGAGGAAGTGGAAGGGTACCTGCATTTTTGTCTTTGACGTGCGATTTTTCATGAGATACATCACGGATTACGATAGAGGTTTTCGGATAGTATGTTAGGGTTGGGGTGAACCAGACTGCTTAATTTATATGCCATTATAATATCACCTCTTATTCTTTTGAGTTGAGGTTTATGTCACACTCTGGTTATCCGTCTCTCTAGTTGGTTTAAAAGATTTATATCCTGCTTAAGAAAATGAGAGCGACAATACTGTGGACTTCACAGTGGGGCAGGGAGTACGTTCCAAAGAGAGTTAGTAGCAAATCTGAGGTGATTGCGAAAAGTTGTCTCCTCACAAAGTGAAGAGTTGCGTTTGCCTTGGCTGCATCCACGATATAGTTTGAGCAGGTGTCTAAGCTTTCTGTGGTTACTAGATAGAAACCACGCTCTATGGAAAGGGTTATCCAACAAAACGTGAATTCAGGAGGCGCTGAATATTCACAGTATGATATTTTAAGTACCTGCTAATCAGTTGCCTAATTCCCAGTCCTTCATTGTTGCAAAATCCTTTTGTAACCCGCTTATATCCTCTACGCGTGTTATGGTCCTCCAAAGCGTCGTGTCATCTCCAAAGATTATTTCAAAAGTGTTAATTTTATTCGAACGACCGTAAACAAGGTTTATAACGAGGATCAAAACTAAACTGCCTCTTGTTAAACTCACGACGTTGATACCCTCCAGCTTGCACACTATGAAGTTACTTTGATACGAAATATACTGCCCTTTAAGTAGTTTCGTAGTCAAGACATAGGAAGGTTAGTAAAGCTCATCTTTGCGACCTTCACTATAATAAGTACGTGCAGTAATGTGTCGAAAGCCTTTGTAAAGGCTAGGAATATTACGTGGACTGGTACCTTTCGGTCTCAACAGATCGTTCAATTATGAGGAGATTAGCCCCATATGGCCTGATTTCCCTAAATTATTGATTAAATTCATTTGAATGTCGTTCTATCTATTTATTACCTCGTTTGGTCATTGACCAATCATTTCACTAACTTTATTGGGATTAGGAATAATGCGACTCGTCTGTATCAAGCTGGTATTTCCTATCTCATTCACAATTGCCAAGAGAGTAGCATGTGTCCATTTCCATCAGTGAAACCCTTCTATCCAACGTGTTAGCTTGTGTGTGACAGATGAATACTTGTTGTGATTGGTCACCTTGAATTTCTGTCAGCTTACACGTGAGAGTGCCAGCTCCACCATATTTTTATTCATACCAGGACAATAAAATCGTCTTGATCGTTACTCGAACGCCTGGATGAGAAAGTTTGTGCAACGTATCGAAGACGTTGTATCGATAATATTTGGGCACTATTGAACGTTTCATACATGTAGGTATGTCATATAGTAAAATGTCCTTGCCTGTTCTCATCTGTTTGATACACAGTTTCAGAGTTGTGGAAGATAACTCATGCTGAAAATCAGTTTTTCTTTTTAGAAGGTAGTAGAGTTTTTAATGGGGCCCTTTATTTAGACGTCATCTACATCGGACGATGTCGACGGTCTCACCACTTCAGTGGCTTGGTATATGTTTCCTAATGAATCGTATGACTGATTGTTATTGAAATATAAATATCGTCAATCGTCGCATATATTTATCGATTTATATCGCGTTAGTAAATAACGGAATTGAACAAGTCAAATACGATAACGGATTTTTCAACACGCATATTTTGAACGCTTGTTGGTCGGAACAGATAATCAGAGAGGCATTGCGCAGTAAAGGAAAAAGAGAGAGTGGAGCGAGTCGAAGTGTCGGGCCGTGGAGAAGACATGTAAGCCAACTCCTTTTTTAATTAAGCATTAATCAATATTTATAGTCACATAAAAATAAGCTTAAGACATGTGATGAGTAAGATAAGATGTACGCACACATACGCTCATATAGAAGCAGTTAGATTTGATAAATGAATAATTATTTCTGTCAAAATGTGACTCAGGAAGAATGGATAAAATGGCCTCTCCAGAGGCTAGAATAAGTTGTGTATGATTTACATGGTAACCGACACTACAAGTGTAGGAAGCAATTTCCTACTGGTTCTAGTATAGAACAATGAAGGATAGCGGCTTTTGCTTCGCCGTCACAATATTGAATCAAGTAATTTAGCTTAGCTCTTAATCCAATATTCCCACTCCCAATGCACTCTTCGAAATTTCTAATGAAGTTCCAATAATTTGTCGGTGTACCGCCAAACCTTACGACTTCTCTTTCTGGTAAATACATATTTTTTAAATATTGTATTCTCACTGTTGCTTACTGATTGGCCGGAACCTTCACATTTCTGGCAGCGTTAATTTTTTAGTTCAATTTCATTTTCTAATTGGGTTATGCGCGACCTAGCCAACTCTAGTTCTATCATGCTATTGTTTTTGAGCTCGTTCTTTTCAAGTTGATCCTCGTCATAAACTTCCGAATGATGGTGTGATAACTCTGAAATCTCATCGAAATCGTAGTATTTATTGGAAGTCATTTCAGTAGGTATATCGAATCTACTGTTCGAAACTTTGTAGGAAGCGATTTCCTACAGGTTTAATTCTAAGCTATTCCCTAGACCGTCGAATACAGAGTCTTTGTTTGGCCAAAGTCAGAACAAGCAAGCTATTTGGCTAGATAAACTTTATCTGTTTCTAAAACAAAGATTAACATCGTTAGTGTACAAACAAACAGTACGGTCCATTAATACAGGGAAAAACAGAAACAAATAACATACCGAACAGTAGCCAGAGAATAGGAAAAATGAGTCAACAAAGCAAATGTTGTTTTACAATGAACATCAAACTGCGATTGGTTAAGAAAGAGATACAGTCACACGAGGTCAAAGGGAGTTAATATGGAGGTGGGCGTCTCACTTTATTATTGGTGGGTTCGTCTATCGATCACATTTCACAACAAGTTTAAGAAGCTTAATTCCTTGCAAATTGTTGAATGAAGCTGTACAAGACAAGGAGCCTGCCGCTACATTGTTTGCACCAGAAGTGTGTCGTATGTCTGAAGTAAACTGGGAAAAGTGGTCCAGTTGTCGAGACTCTCCGTGGGAGTACTTATCTGAAGACAAGCTAAGAGAGAATGTGAGAGGTTTGTAGTCGGTAAATAGAGTTGATTCTCAGTTTTCGACAGTGTTAAAAGTGCCGTACAGCACAATATATGGCTAGGTGTTCCTTTCCGAAAGTGTTATACCCCGATTTAGTGTCTTACAACCGTTACAGGATAAAAATTTCAAAAACTGAATACAATTGTTTATCCATTGTTGTAAGACTTCTTTCGCCGAGTCGCGTGCGTCTATTGTGATACGAATAGGTGCTTTTATGTTCTGGTGTGTGAGCATGGTTGCTTTTGTGACAAGTTCCTTAATTGTGGAGGTTGCTTTGTTTGTATTGTGGTTCAAAGTGGTAACTTTCGCATTTCCACGAAGTTGGTTGGTTGAGGGTCTCATGAGAGACACACAATTCGGTATGAACCATAGATCGAAACTTACCAGGCTGTTGAACATAAGTAACCGCTTGACTACGGTGATTTTTGGGTAATCCATAATGGCCACCACTTTGCTTTTCAGGATGCGAATGCCATTAGCTTCTATAGTGTGTTCGGTAAGAACTAGGAAGTTGATTCAGATTTGACATTTCTGAATTTCTGCGTTAATGCCGTTCTTCTGAAGTCATTCAAAAACAAGGATCACATGCTGGAGAGGACATTCTCTGTGAGAGCCTGTGATCAAGTAGTCATCTACATATGCGTGTATGAAGTTGTTACATCGAAAGACAGCATCAATAAATCCCTTAAAAATTTGTGCAGCATTTAAAATTCAAAAGGCATGCGCAAAAGTTTGTGGAGTTTGAAGTGGGTAATAATAACGGCTTCAGGGATGCCATCAGCAGCCATAAGAATCTGATTACCAGCTTAAATCAAAGCGATTTTTTAAAATTTGCTTTTGCTTTTTAAAGTAGCTGCCGAATAGTGAACGCCAACCTCTACACCAGTTTTGATGAGAAAGCGAACCTCCGTCACCATATCAGTGATGTACAACAAATGCCCTTGGTCGCCGACTCAAGTTGCCAATTACGCGTGCCGGTGGAGGCACGAAGAGATTTCAGTGTCGGACGATTTGTAGATCAGGAAATTTCAAAGTTTTCTGTAATCTATAGAAGTTAGCCTCTTCGTAAAAAAACCAGGCTTCCATATTTTCGAGCCAATATGAAATCGTCCAAATGATAGGAGGTGAGAGAGCTTTGATCTTTCGTAGTTGGATGGTCTGCCACATTATGACAAAGATATGAAACTTCAATGGGCGGGAGAATATGTAAACAAAATCACATTAGGCATATATAAAAATGAACAGATTCACAGTTTGTGAATTGATGTGCCAGGAAACGTCGACCTCACCACTAAAGATGTCACGGGTATTCATAGTTTGTCAACGCCTTTACTAATACACCATTGTAATCGAAGTATCCCAACCAAGTCAAATCAGAAGTCATAAATGAAGAGGTCCGAAGTTATATTTGGAGGCTATCTATATCTCGAGAAGCGTTTGATCTAAACTAGGTAACAGCTGTAGAAGATGCGTAGTGCGGCTTACCAGCTCGTGATCTAGTGTGGATGCATGACCGAGCGCATTTAGCTAGTCCAGTAAAACTAATGAGGCCAGCATAAAATATTAAAGACTGACAAATGTATTTAGTTAAGAGATTTATTTATTTCTTTAAACTTTTTAAATCATGACTATACCAGCAAGTTTTCCAGTCACAGTTTTTAATTTGTTTGTTGGCTTGTACTACAGCAAAGATTTTGCAAGGTCATGGTTTTAGCTCAACTATGAAAAGTAGTATAAGATAACGATGGTTGTATATTTTGGAACATATATAGTTTCTGGATTGACTATATGTCTGTTATTAATTGGACTTGCTAGTACCCAAAATTGGTGGAACTTTGAATCTTACATAAATCCATTCAAACTTCCTGTATTTACTCCACTGCCAAACCAACGGTTTACTCATATTCCTGAAGTCAATCAATACGTTCCGATGCCAAACGATGTTGTTGTTGACATTCCAAGGTTTGTTTATGCACTTTTTTTCTGTAAAATGCATACCAAGGGCCGGGATGGGAAAGTTTATTGGTTTTTCTACTACGATAAATTATGACCATACCTGGTCAAGGTGGCAACCAACAAGCGGTCGATTGATCAATGCGTTTCTCGGAATACCATATGCAGCACCTCCAACCGATGAAAGAAGGTTCAGGGTTTGTTTGTTTTGATGTTCATTCTATTTGAATACAGGTTCCCGTTCCTGCTTACTTAGATACCCGATTTCCTTGGTTTGCAAAACGCTTTAGATCAGCGTGTATGCAACCACACATTTGGCTTAGCCGATTTATACCAGGCTTTACAGATATAAGTGAAGACTGTTTGTATCTGAACATTTATTATCCAAATGTAAGTTTGTATCATCATACATTATTTTTTGAACTAATTATGTTTTCATGTATCTTGTTTATAAACAGGACACATTATGATTTTCATGAAACTTTTTAAATACTATAACTCCAAAAGTGTCATACTGTATTTAATATATAGAAGAGTATCTTAGCTAGCCAACCGACCAGTTATGAACGTCATTTGTGAAGAGATCTTGGATAATGATCAAAATATAATGTATAGATATTCGAGTTTTTGAGATGTGTTAACCTGATATACGTCTAAACATCTAATGTAGCTCTAAGAATCGTTACATGCTTATTATTTGCTCTTGTTTGTCCAAACGGAGTATTAGGAGGATTTTATGTCATTAGTTAGGTGAATTATTGCAAACCTAGTGGTTTTAACTGCACTTCTGCTCTTGGTGCTTTAGGAAAAACACACTAAACTCCATTATTTATGAGTTTTCAGGAATTTGTTTAGCTTAAATGCTCACGGTGTTGACTGGAAATCTAAAATATGTCACATAGTTCTACTAGTAATATTTGTGTTTCAGTTCACTTTACTTATTCATTTCAAGGCTATGTATATAAGATTATGGTCTACAGGACGGAATTTATGCTTAAAAAGTACTAATTTGATCCGGAATGTGATGCAGAACGGTGGGTCAGCACCCAGGATTTAATCTAACGTGTATCGTTTCCTAGTAAATGTTGTCTCTCTGTAGTGTGTTAATATCACTAATAAGTGATTGCTAAAGTTGGTTTCACCCTGATAACAAGTAGCCTGTCTATTTTTAATATCATTTCAGCTGATTCATATTTAAATAACACTAATTCACTTTACTACAATTTTTTATTCTGAAAGCTTTCACGATTCTTGAAAACCGCACCTTATTAGAAAGTTAGAAAAACTTCATCACACAATCTTCATTTACTTAGCAGTTGTTATAGACATTGTCTTTAAGTTCGGTGCTTCATTAAATATTTTAACTTAATGTTTCGTAAAATTTCTATGTTGTACGTAAAAAGATGAAAATAACACAAGATATATGAAAGACAAAACGTACGAGAATATCAAACAGTTGATTTCTTATCGCTTTAATAATGCTTCTATAAGTATATCACGGAAATTGAAATACTTAACGCTGTAAAAGCTGAACCGAGGTTTTCTTGAAAAAAAAACATTTGGCCCGGAAAACCTTTTATGATGAAGATTGATTACCCGGGTATTTTTAAGTTTATGTGGTACCTTGACTGCTTAACGAGCAGTTGCTTCCATGGTTTAATCATATAGGAACCTTTGTGATTCATCGTTTTTAGGGATCTTTCGGTTTGTTAGGAAATGCTGAAGTAAAAATGAATAGTAGCTAAGAAAAGCTTAGTAATGAGAGTTAAGCAATGACACTAAGTGATGTCTCGACATATATCACGAAATTGGATGAACTTGGAGAGGTAGGTCATCGAATGTCTACTCAGTCGTTCTGAAGTTTGCGCATTTGGTGAGAGATTTAAAAATCTTGCGTACCATCTAAAATTAAATCATGAATGAGCATTACTGAGGATTATCACAATAGAAAAAATCTCTTCTCATTACTCCCTGGTTTAAGGTAACTCTGATTCATAGCCAATAGTGGTAACATGTGACAAAAACTACTTACAAAGTTAAATAGTCTTTATGATATGTTAACTAAAATACTAAATTAATTTGATGAATTATTTTGTATAGAATAATTTAGGCAGCTGAACTAACATTTCATTAACCTGGTTATCTGTACAATAAATTTTTTTCTAAACCCTACACACAGATGTAAAATTACCTTGAATACTTATGATTTGATTTTAATTATAACAGTTATTTTATTCTCCTACTATATACACATATGTTCTAGTTCTTTTGACTGAAAAACGGTTGATTTATTTTTAAATGAGAGATTCGATTGCTAATTTTACGAAGCCTAACAAGAGTTAGGTATATATCTACATAAAATTTTATTGAAGTTTTAGCATATTCTGTTATAAAGCTAATGTTAAAATTCAGGGTGCTCGTTTCTTCTCGATTAGGACTAGTAAGTTAAATGTATTTAAATTCTAACTTTGATATGCACACTAAAACTTGAGCCTGGCGATCTGTTGCCTCAGGCGCATAATACGTTATTTAATGATCCAATAAGTCCGTGTAAATACGGGCTTTCTCAACGGATATATAGCTATTCTTTAGGGTTTGTAATTTTCAGTCGTTGATATTTGTGACTGCGAAAGATCTGCCATGTTCATGACCTGTGAGAATCCCTTCTTCACAAGTGGTCTATATCAATACAATTCATATAAGCTGCTTTATGACAACAAAACTCACTCTTTATAGCCCTTAGTATCAATTAAGAGAAATTGAAAACTCTCTTGATGTTTGAAATTTCGTCTTAAAAATTCAGATTTACCGATTGTTATTCTTTTTATTAAAAAACATTACTGTAGAATACATTGGATGCTTCTAATACTCGTTATCCTGTGATTGTACATATTCATGGTGGAAGTTATGTTTATGGTTCTAGTCATATGTATCCAGGTTTAGCATTGGCTTCCAAAGGTTTAGTTGTAGTAACATTCAATTATCGTTTAGGACCGTTTGGTAAGTTTGCGTTTTGCTTGTTTCACCTCTGGTTTTGAAAATAATCCAGTTAACAATTTTCACTCGAAAGGGTTTTGTGGTGCTTGGTTTAGTGCGTAGTTTGCATTCACCACAGCTTGACCTTGGCCTTAGTATCATTAAAATCCGTCTCATACCAGTAGAAAATCCCCGCTGACAATGTTCAGCCCTTAGTTCCTGCCTTCGGTCCCTGATATGGTGATATACATCTTCATCGGAAAGTCCTGTACTAATAAGAAACATTTTTCAATGTTTCCTGCAGTATAATAGTATCCAAAGTGAAAACGGTTTGGGACGAATAGAGGCAAAGAAAAGTTTATAAATCATTTAATACTTTTTCTATTTTCATTATGATGGATCATCGAAAATAACTGGTGGTATTAGATAAAGTATGTAAATGTCCAGATTTGTTGAAAATCTTATTTAGTAGTCAAAAATAAACCAGAGTATTAAAACGTAAGGAAATTCCTTACATATATAGATCAATTGTAGTAAATATAGAAGAATCACAGATGTTGTGTACAAAACGTTTATCATGTCATACAAAAAAGAGGGCTTGGTTCATTTTTAACAGGTTCATATATATGTTATAAAAAGCAACAAAAATTACATTACGACGAAGGTATGCCTGGGTTGAATACACTTCATGTTGATAGTTCGGAAACAAAGCTTTAAGTGGAAGCACACTGTCCGTTAATATTTTATTAGGTTAAACAAATTATTCCCTGCATTCAGACTATGCATATCATTTTTGCAACTAGGTGTAGTATGCTTTCGACGTAAGCATTGCCATTTCCATATGTACAATAATCAACCATCAAATAGTGAACAGTATCATGAGTTTTTAATTATGCTCTCTGTCGGTTTGTAATCCGGATCAGCCAGTTTCTCAGTCTGAGACACTACTAATAGTCTATTTGAGAATAGTTCTCAATGAAAAGTGTCAACAATCGTTTTCTTTTGACAATCAATTAACTATTATGTATATTTTTAACTTTGACAAATCCTTGTAAAGAGACTACCACACAGGAAGAGTGATATGAAAAACATAATATTGCTTCCTCTCATGTGGCTAGATGGATAAGTTAAGTAAACTCTTTGAAAGTTTAACACTGTCTCATTGATTGCAGATCTACAACACAAAATAAATAAAAGCTCAAGAATTACCAACATACAATGTATTAGTACAATTTCCAACATTTATGCATCTCTGTTTTCATTGAACGTAATATAGTTAGTATAAGACGAAATATTTTTACCAAACTTATCAATGATTTTATTCACTTTCCTCTTTGTATCTTTTGTTGTTTAAGTGACTGTCTGACCTGATCTCGTCCTTGATCTCAGTAACATTCCCCCATATCTACATGACTCTTCTTGTACTGATAATATTCATTCCATGTCAAAGTCATATGAGAATTTATTGCACTCGCGTTTTCTGTGTATGAATACATTTTTGCTTAAAATTGTATCGTCTAGTACTTTACCTTCTGAACTATTAAACGTTTGTTTATCCTAATGAAAATTATGTTGTAGCCATAAACAAAGATAGGAATTTTATACATGAACGAGTATCAGCATAATACAGGAAGCATGTACATGAGGTATGCATACAGGCGCATACACAGCTTTTGCAATAATTGTGCTAAATGCAATAATGAAAACATTTTGTAAAGAAATTTACGATGTATCGGTCTTTTTCGCCTTCAAAATATTACTCATTTTTGACAATGAATTTGGTCCACGTACGTTTTCATTATTCTAAGTGTTTATAGAAGTTCTTGGGGGCCGGATATTCGATTGGCTAATAATTTCTCAATACCAAATATTTTGCTAAAAATGTACACGGATCATTTTCCTAAATTCACTTCAATGGCAATCAGTTTGATGGTTGGTCAGTGATCTGAAAACACAAAACAACCACAGAAATTCGATATTTTTACCAACGTAGACGTTTGATGGACACCCGTTCTATATATAGTCGTCACATTTGAAGACATTAGATGACACAGTTTATATCTAATCATACTAGCGTGTAAATACACTTATAAATGACTATGTTAGATTAATGAGGGCTATAGGTTTGAAATCATACATGGTCTGAGTTTCATGCCATATATATATCAGATATTTTCATCGTTAAATGTAGAGTGGATCGTTTTCTACGTAAAACATTAGTTACCTATAGGTTGTACGTATGACTTGGTAACAAGTATCATATACAACTCTATTCATGTCATTTCGCACTCACGCAGTGTGTTTTTCTACCACTTATTCATATACAAGTAAATTCCTTTATTAGGTTCTACAGAAATCGGACGATAAAACATGTCAACCTGTACATATGATGTAATCTAGAAAATAAAAATGGTAAAATCCAGTCCTCTACTTTATAATTCACATACATATATAATAACTATGCTAAATTCTTGCATGAATGTACATGAATAGAAATACAATAAATTGTAAAGAAAAGAAAAACTAATCAGTCAGCACAATCAGTAACATGAAAATCAGTGTGCTTATATTATTGAATAGGTTAAAAGATGTCCAATTCAATTATTCAGTCATTTTTCTAATATTTTTAAACATTTTCTTAACATCAGTACCAAGATGTAACATATAAATGTACTGGAGACACATATTACACATCATAAACGTCATTCACTTGACCAAAACTTCCATAAAAGATTTTCATTTGAAAAAAAACAGCTTTAGTAACACTTAGAAAAGAGGACAAACAAAAGAGGACAGACAAACGTTTGGTTTTGGCCACATGTCTTCATACGTAGTGATTGAGCAACTTGTTTATACATGTTATGCAGTCGTTGAATAATTCATATGTTTTACTGTTTGTTTTTTATTGTGTAAGTAGTCATAGTTACATTTTGAAAAAAATAACAATCATTTTATTACAAATGAAATTTATTGTTTAACGCCACGAAGAAGTCACAGAACACATTGAACATGTGTATTTAGGTATATATTACTGGGTGGTATTATTCATCATGTAAGGCATTCAAAAATATCTTTTGATTTTCCTTAACAAATATTATTATTATGATATACGCTTTTGTATAAAAGCAGAAAATAACTATGCAGAATATTTGGTGTTTTTTTAACTTCATGGGATATTAGGACTAGTGAATACACAGAACTAGTATGGAGGAATTTTCATGGAGATTATAGAATTCTCATAGTAGAAAATCACTAATTGAGCTTAGCTAGGCCACCTTTGAAAACCTGATAGCGCTCGACGGAAGTTTTATCCTATTATGGGACTGCTTAGAAATGTACATCGATAGCCCTACATCCGGGAAACGAACCCAGGACCTTCGGTATCGTGCATGAACCCTTAACCTCCAGACTATTGAGCCTCCAACCACCGGTGCACAACTCTCACTCAGACCGACCCACGATATTGAACAGCCCTCATTCATCGCTTGTAGTGGAGAACTGTGCTCCATCCTAGGATAAAATAGCAGTCCAGCACTTTCAGATTTCCAATGATAGTCTAGTTGTGAGCAGTTCTTGGCTTAAAATATATGAAAACCCGAAAATCCCTGTGTATCAGTTTATCTACCTGTTTTTCTATCTATCTATCTATCTATCTATCTATCTGACCTTTTCATTCAACCAGGTTTTCTCGCAACTGGTGATCATGCATCGATCGGTAATTATGGTCTATGGGATCAACTGCTTGCAATCACTTGGGTTAAACAAAATATCGAATGGTTTCAAGGTGATCCTGACAAAATTACATTAATGGGAGAAAGTGCGGGTGCGGCTAGCGTCGGTCTTCATTTAATCTCACCGTTAACACGAGAAAGATGTTAGTGACGGTTGTTTATTTTTTTGGAAAGATGAATGTTTTATGACTCCTTTTTGCAAATAATGAGTATTTCTTGAAAGGTTCTGAAAACAGCTTTTTGTATGATGTGCAGTGTGTACTACTGAGGAATTCTTAGATCGGGATGAAAGAACTTTATAGCGCCTCCTGGTCTACTGCTCTTTTCAATGTGATGGTAGCTCTTAAGTAAAAATTATCGTCAGTTTGACGAAAGTTTTCATTAAATATTCAACCAACACAATGAACAGAGAACTGGTATCAATCATAAGTTGATTTCATATTAAGAAATATTGCAAGCTAATGAGGATTGAATAATTGCTTTATCGACATTTACAGCTCATCAGTAAAAGTAAGCAACAATAACATAGCCGAAGATCTGAACACATGGCTTTTTTGGCCTCTTAGAGAACGGGTACTTTTAGTCTATTGAGTTGAGATTTTCATGGTCCACGTCCCAAGTTTTATTCATTTAGTGATACAACGTCGCAGCTATATAATACACATGGTTAATCAATGAAAAAAAGAGAACTAAAATAGTATAGTTTTTTTTGTTCAAAGTAATTTACAATAACGCACAATTATCATCCGACACCACTAGTGAAAACTATTTCACTCTCGACATGCCTGAACTCCACCAGTCACTATTTCTAACGAGAAATTCAGGAATATGATGAAGTAAGTCATTACTAAGTCGATTATTACAGTTTAGTTGAAGAATTTTTGTAGAAATTGGTTTAATCTGTAGATTGTTTTCTCCACAAATAACGGTATCATATAAAACTAGTTAGCAAAGAATATATGTTAGTTTTCAATAGTAAGTAGCTTATTATCTAATTGGAAATCTAACTCATAACAAACTAAACTACTATTACTGCCGAAATAATGTTCATGATGAAATCTAATATTTGAAAGAAAATATTCACAATTCCTAATGAAGAATAAAACTGATTAAAGTCCATTTAATGATCAGATGCGATTACTAACAATCATTAATCTGTATTTGGGTTATATACAAAAAATCTTTCAAAATCATTATTTGTATATATTAAATGTAGCTAATTAACAGTAATTAGTAGTTATTCCAATAACTTACTTCATTTCACAAAAAAGCATTTATTCATTTTCACTTAATACTTCAAAAGTTTATCTAAAGGGGTTGCATTAGTCAGAATGTTCACCAGTGAAACAGTTGTCACCAACAGAATCAGATACGTCATGTCTCATCTTAATCAAAGTAGAAGTTGTAAAACCGGACGCAAGTTCTGTTTTAATGTATAAGCGTTAAATATGAGACCTGAATGTATTAAGTTCGGTCCCCTAGGAGGTTGTATGTATACACAAATGATGGCTCCTATCTTAGGTCAAAATAGGAGTCTAGTAGTCTGTGATTTCCATTGATACATCAAGTGAGATCAGTGTTTGATGAATGTAACTTAAAAATTTCAGTCTTTTGAAATCAAGAATACAGATGTAAAGAATGAAAAACTCTACAATACAATCTCTTAGTGATTATAATTAAATTAAAATCTGGTCATAATTAATTTAACTAGCTGGATGTGTGTTAAGTATGCCCAGCCACCAACTGCCCTGACGAGAGACGTTTTATGATTTAGGAATAGGTTGGAAGAAAGATTGGGGTGGCCAGACCAAAGCATGGATCAAATCCATGAAGTCACTGACAAGTGGACTGAGGCATGCTGGTAGGTATAGACTATCTGGTTGGGATCCGCGAGACGATAGCAACCGATGGTTAGAGACTGTGAATGACATGGCTCGAAATCGTTTTCAATGGCGCAGGTGCGTCCACTCTTTGTGTTCTCCCAAATTCTAATCTTCTGAATTCTTCACGTTCCTTTTATTCTCTTTCCCAATTTATTTCACTCGATTATACTCCTTGAATAACATCTTGAAACCCTAATGTATCTGATTACTGCTTCTACTTTTACTACCTCTACGACTATGGGAATAGAATCGACAATTGTATCTCTGTGCTAATGTGGTATGACAAGTCGAACTGATGTACGTACTTACGGAGTTCTACGTTGTTGAATGACTGACTAATTTTAGGTCTGATGAAGTTCTAATAGAAATTAAGATTGTTCGCTTATATGTCTTATTTTAATATTGTAATTATAATAGATTTATTTGAATTATGAAGTGTTAAACTAAAAAAAATCATTCTAATCAACACGTATCTTCCTTCATTAATGTAATAATCACGTTGTTTATATAATAACTGATATTTTGTAGATATTTTTTGAGATGTTAGATGGTTAGAGGTTTTCTTTTTCCTAGCTGGGCTTACCTTGATCTCGGTAATGATATTTACGCTGATATGTGAGCCTAGTAACTATCATTCCAAACACTAACGCATTATTCCCTAATCTATTAATCTATTCACATTCACTCAGAGTTTTTCCAAGTTTCAACAAAACACTTAGTAGTTCAGTTTGTCTATTTATAGGACAGATCATATATGTGTACAAAGAGCAAGTCTGTTTATTAAAAGACTGTTGAAAGCTATAAAAGGTAACTTTTGATTTTATATGTTAATTAACATTTATTTATGTCTATCGCAATCTATCTATAGTTTGATCTAATAGTTAAACATTGAAGCAAAATTCTGTCGATTATTTCTATGTACAGATCATTTATGTATTCATTAAACAAGCAATTTTTCGAATTACTGTGAAACTATAATTTATGGACGACCTTCTGAGCAACGCTAAACTGACCTTGAGAGTGTCCGCCTAATAACTAGGACCAAATGATGGTTATAAACCACTATGAGGAATTACAATTATGACATACAGTTGATGATCAAGGTTAGAAATTAGGTTTTGGGTTTTCATCATGAAGTGACATCAACTATAATGACCAAACTATTTATTCGAATGAATGAGTGAATTTCGCGCCAAAATCCGAGACCTGTTATCTTATATGTGATTGGTTCGTCCGTAAATTATAGTCTCGCCTGTTTATCAAAAATATTTATTATATAGAACTTATATATACAGTTACATCAAGTTCCCAACTCAGTCTATAACCTATGTAGTGGAAGAAGCCAGAGGCTGCGGGAAAAACCATGCTTCCAAAATCTAAATTGTTATGTTTACAAGTGAAGTATATATATTCATTTAATTTATTTATTGGTTCGGTGGTTGGCGAATTCTTCATATTGATACAAAATTCTAATGGAATTTGCTAGCTTACACTATCTGTGATTCTGATAGAATGTCTGACAAATTACCAAACAGATACTTTAATGCGTAATAATTTTCCGTGCATTGGGTTATAACTAAGATACTTGGTCTTTGAAAATCGATAACGCGTATAAGTTGCTAGTATTCAATAAAGAATGTTTTCGAGTCATTTTTCGCGTATAGCGCAACCTTTGAGTAAGGCTGAAGTTAAGTGTAAGAAACTGGGTAATGCTGATAAATCTATTTATAATACTATGAAACTTCATCCATTGAGACATATATGATTTGTGTTACACATTCTTAACCATAGTCTACGAGAAGTAATATCTTGGTTAGTATGGAAGTAGGAATTAGGCTAAGGTAGCCAGAGTAAAATATCAAAACAGTCAACAAAAGCAACAGCTGTCGTTCTGATCAGTGTTAATGCGTTCTGACTACTTAGTTGATGGTGTAACTTTAGCTGATACTTGTTTGAAATGACCAAAATGGATTATATGAATTCATTCCTTTTCTGCATCTCCCTCCATAATTTGAATTTTTATGGTCTTATTTCAAAGCTTTCATCTTTCCAGTTAATTTGTTCTATTAAATCAGCTTATTTATATTTTGTTTCGCTAATTTCCTCCGTTGCTATACTGATGAGAAATTATTTTATTATTTATTTGAACACACAAATATTGGTACAAGAGGGAACCAAATATATATGCGCCACACATCATATTCAGCAAATAAAGATCAGTCTGTATTTCAATATATATGAACATACCTATTCACTGATTCATTTGTTAAGATATTGCAATGAACACGAACACAAATGGGAACAATCGAATGATGGGAACGATGGGAACAACAACCTTACCTCAGATCTTATTTTTTTTATGACTAACTAACCGACTAACTATGATGCTAAGAAGTTGTTGATTGTATTAATCACAGACTGATTTCAACTAAAGAACTACAGAAAGTACTAGACAACTCTTTTGTATTAGTATGAGACTCTTCAGTAGTGTGCCTGAATAACCCCATTGAGAATAGAATCCAGATTTGGTAGTGTTTGCAATAGATACTTGACCATTAGAACCACTAACTCGGTATAATTCCAATTCTAATCAATGTAATATAGCGAGATGATCTTTACATTCTGTTGGTAACAACTGTTTCAGCATTTGAGCTTCATCAGTCATGACTTCTCATTAAAACTTCAGAAATATCTTGGATTAAGTTAATAGTAAGCTGAATAAATGTCATTTTTATTGTTGCAATGTAAAATATCATTCTTATCATTTCTACATTTTATAGAATCATTGAATCGGTTTATTTTATACATCCTTTGAATATGTATAGTATAGTTATTACCACTTTTCTATGTTACATCATTCCATTTAGTCCTATAAATCTGTACAAGGACAAATCGATTTTTTCTAACTTTTCTCTTATTTCAATTCTACAAAATTATGTAAATTAGTTTTCAATTCGAAACTGCAAATATTAAACAACAGAATATCACATATGTTTAAATTGAATAAGTATAAATAGACATAAGCACAACTACACAATGGTGTTCACTATTTTTGTATTAACACTTGTTGATTTTTAAGTGTTTTTGCTTACTCTCTAGTACTCCATCAATCAAATCTCACTTCACTTCAGTTACACACACGCACACACACACCCTATCTCTCCTTATTTCTATGCATAAGGTTTAACTGTCTGTCATATGTGTACATACAGTTCGAATATATATATACACTCGGTGAGACTATAATATACGGATGACCT